TCCAAGCCTGAAGGCAATCAAGCCAATTTTGAACGCCGGCCTCACACGCTCTCAGTCTCCATCCTCCCTCTACATCATTTTGACCAACTTGTTCAACTACAGTGTATAGCCGGATCGATCACAAAGCAGCCCAGCTTCATTCTACGGCGCATTGCGCCATTACTAACGTCTCCTACCGTGTCGCTCGCACTCATACCGTGGTCATTCCCCTACGTCGACTGTGGCGTGGCCATTTCGCTCCTTTCTACCTTGCAACAAACTTTCTCAGCCATAGTTTTGTTGGCGGCTGGTCAGTCCCATCGTAGCAGACGGCGAAAGGCTCTCATCATTTCGCGACACATTTCTTCTCCAGAACCCCTCCACCACCAACCAAGCTGGCAGGCAACAAGCGACGCAGCCTCTCTTCGCAGGGAGGTCTGCTCAACAGAATGTTTGGTGGAGGCTCCTCAACCTCTCTCAAAGCTGAGAGCGCAATTGATGACGCAGGCACCAACGGCGACACTGCCACACTCGGTCCTGCCGCTGCTGCCCCTAGCACAGCCAGAAAAGGCAGCAATAAATCACCGTCCCCCGAACCCGAATCAGCGCCGATCACAACAGCAGAGCCAGCTGCAAAGTCGACGAGTCCCGAAAGACGAACGGGAAACAACAGCCCACCAGCACCCAGCAGTTCCACTGAACCCAAGAAGCGACGGAGCAGCGGTGTCAGCAGCCGTGCCAGTAGCCTGCTAGCATCTGCGAAAAACACACTTAACTTCTCTCAGACTGGACGAACAAGTAGCGATGGATCTACATCGACCCAGACCCCGCTACAAAAGCTCGGCAAGCAGGATGCTGCGCTCGCTGTTCCGCAAGGACAGCACAACAACTCGGCAGGTGAATCCCTTCCAGGCCCGAGATCCACGTTTCGTGTCGGTGTCTGGGAGGACCGGAACAAGAAATGCCGACGGACGATGGAAGATACACACGCCTTCCTATACAACTTCCTTCGGACACCTGCGCCCGCCACGACAGTCTCCGACAAGGACAGCACAAAGTCCTTCAAATCGTCTTCCGACAACAGCGAGCAAGATGTCGCCGTCTCTAGTGGCGGGAACAGTGGCTTAGATCTTGTCAGCGACTCGCTGGAAACGGACAATGGCTATTTTGCAATTTTCGATGGACATGCTGGAACCTTCGCTGCAGACTGGTGCGGGAAGAAGCTGCATCTGATTCTTGAAGAAATCATACGCAAGAACCCGAATGCGCCTATACCCGAATTGCTAGATCAGACCTTTACGTCTGTTGATAATCAGCTAGAGAAGCTTCCTCTCAAAAACAGCGGCTGTACCGCGGCAGTTGCTGTCTTGCGATGGGAGGATCGAGTGCCCAGCAGCCAATCTGCTACAGGCTCCCAGGGCATCGCCATGGCTGCCGCCGCAAAAGCCAACGACGATTCGGCTCCCAAGTCAGATGAAAAGAGAGGCAACACTACCAATGCTGGTGGTACCAACACGTCCGTGCCTCTCACTGCGGCCGATGTGGAAACCGCACATGCCAAACTCAAGTCTAATGCTGTTCGACAACGTGTTCTCTATACAGCAAATGTTGGCGACGCGCGCATTATTCTTTGCCGGTCCGGAAAGGCCTTACGGTTATCGTATGACCATAAAGGCAGCGATGAGAATGAAGGTCGCCGCATTGCCAACGCTGGTGGTTTAGTCCTTAACAATCGTGTGAATGGAGTGCTCGCAGTTACAAGAGCTCTCGGTGACACTTATATCAAAGAGCTTGTGACTGGCCACCCCTATACGACCGAGACGGTTATTCAACCGGAGCTGGATGAGTTCGTCATTATTGCTTGCGATGGGGTATGTAGTCTCCCACCTTGGATCGTTCTTTTAGCCCCTACTATTGCAACCTTACTCTGTTTCCAGAAACTGACAATGGCCGCAGCTCTGGGATGTCTGCAGTGACCAAGATGCAGTGAATCTCATTCGCAACGTTCCTGATCCTGTCACAGCTGCAAAGATGTTAGTTGACCATGCCCTCGCCCACTTTAGCACGGATAACCTTTCGTGCATGGTTGTTCGCTTCGACAAGGAGGCATTGGTCGAAACGCAAAACAGCAACGACGGCTTGATTGGTGTCGAAGGCGACGAGGTTGGTTCGGGGACAAAGCCAAGCGAGGCGGACAAGATTGTCAATGACATCAAGCAAAAAATAGCCGAGGGTGGCACGCCCGCCATCGGCGTATCTGCCAGCAACAGCGGCCGTGGCCATGACTCTGTGGCCCCCCCATCTCATGACGATGCGTTTCAGCGCACGGCAATTGAAGGCTCGGTCGAAGAGGAGCCAGTGCTTGATGGCGATGAGTCCGTTGAGACAACCCAGGAGGTTGTGGTTCTTTCCAACGAAACGGAAGGCGCCGCTACGACCACAAAGGATGAGCACGTCGAAGACATTGCGCAACTTGGAGGGTCATGATCCCTATAGCACAGATAGCAAAGTAGGTGCGATAAGACGTGACAGTGTAAGAAGACCGGGCCTGGCTTATACAAACTTTTCTGAGTGACGACATGAAGAGAGAAATAAGAAAGACAAAGCAAAAAGGCAGTGTGGTCAGTGCTGTTACGACATGACGGTAGAGGGTTTGTTACTACAGTAGACGGTAGGCAGGGTGCCGCTGTGAGTTTGGAATTCCTCATTGTTGTGGTTGACTTTATACCTGTATTTTCATTTGACGGGTTTTTTTTTTGTTTCTGGAACTGGACGCCTACGGATGCCTTTTGAGAGAAGAAATCGCTAAACTTCTACGTAAATACTCTATGCACAAATTCGTCCTAACCCTGTTATTTCCTGATATGCGCACCCGCGAATTAAAACGTTGGTATATGCAGCGTATCCTAAACAAAATATGTTTTCTAGCCTGTCTGTTGTCGTCTTGACTTAGATTCCTTTTTCTAATAAGAAGACGGATACCATTGACAGGATTCAGCAGATCCAATCGCCATAGGAGAACGATACTAAGTCAACATGTTCAATTTTCTTTGCATGCCATCTTTGACATCACAGAGGGCGACCCCTGCTTTACGGTCTCTTGCCGTAATACCGTACTGCCATAGTCGCTCAACGCATTAACCTTTCCGTCAACAACTGTTCCTCGTTTTTCGTACTCCTTACGACGTACGGAGTCCATGGTCGGCTCATACTGCCCCTCAATGAACGAGAGGTCAAAGCGTGCGAGCGAGCCATAAAACACCAGCCAGAAGTCTATCTTAAAAGGTGAAAGGTCTGTGAGGTTACATTGGAGCGTCAAGGCAGCATGTCTATGCAAGTCACAGACTCCGAAAGAATGTTCCGTGCGAAAACCTCAGGATGAAATACCTTCCTACGACGCTCGTAGTATGTCTTGAGGCACGGTACACAGTGTAGACCATTGGCTCGGCCACTGATTTTCCATCCTAGTCTGTTCGCACAGCTCTTCTGTTTAACCATCATCGTTCGAACGACGAGAACATGTTCGCAGGCCTCACCTTGCCGTCTCCTAGATAAACACCTTCATATACTATGAAGTATTCTGTCCGAATACGTACTACCCCGTACTTGTATTCAAGCTACCCGTTACACTGGTCGTCTTACATGCTGGCGTCGGCTATCATTGTGAACTAATATACCGGCATTACGCACTGTACTTAGCTTGGCTACGAAATGAAGGGAATTTACGGGCTAGCGATCACTGGTGAACTAAGAGAGCTGGCAGAAGTTCTTCGTGAAATTTACAAGACGTTTTTCATTCAGAAGAGCATGCTACAGACAGGTCGTCCAGCGTTAACGAAGGTGTCCTTTTAAACTCTTTCAAAAAACCAGCGACTGCGTCAGTTTGACTATATAGAGCATATATTAAAACCCAAGAGGCACGATTGTCCGTGAACTGGTTCGATCATGTTTCCTTCCGGCAGAAGAAAGTCATGGATACAAGACGAATCTTGCATCTGTCTCTGTGCCACAAACACGCGAAATGGGTGCATTATGAATTGGGTGGGTCTGAACTGGGACATCGCGATGGGCCTAGTAGCCTGACTAGTCCATAAGTGGCTAATACCAGTCCCGGAAAGGGAGCTGGCGCCTCTCCAATTCCCCCTGACAAGCGTACCTCGTTGCGTGGGAAAATGAAAATAAGAAAAGGGTGGCTCGGTGGATGCCCAATTACTTAAATAAATAGAAATATCGGAGGTAGTTGCAGGAAAGGGCGGAGGCCAGAAGCAGTGCTCAGGGGTTCGGTTTGACCTTGCGTTGAAAGATTCTACCTTTCTCGCGTCTACGGAGCATCGAGAACCAGGCTCTCTTCTTGCTTTCTACCATCTGGAAACCCACTCCGTGAAACGTCCTCTCTTTCCGTTTTGGTTCCGCCTCGGATGATTTCCCCTCTGGCTCAAGCCTCGTCTTGCTCCCGCTCACTGCCCACTTGCGTCAACTGGCATCAGCGTCTCGCACCGTTTCCCCATCTACTTGCGCCTGTAGCGTTTTTGGTTGTTTTGAAGGCTGCCAGGTCCCCGTGAGAAAGCAGTACAAGAACCAACTTTTCAGTTTCCCGACTTTGAGACTCTCAATTTCCCACATTCCACGCCATTTCCTTCCGGGCAGATATTGTTGTCTTTTACAATCATCCTTCTGCATGTATTATACCTCTGTCAGATCTCCAACATCTCGATTGTCTTCCTGGACATGCGAACCTGAATGCGCCCCTAGCCATTCCCGCCCTCGGCGAACGACGCGCTATCGACGCAGAATACCAATAACTCCCTATTTCCCACATTTCGCCAAATTCTGCCCTTCCCGCTTAGTCGCAGAGTCGATCTTGCGTTCATTTGTTTTCCCTATCCGGCCCTTATTGTCGAGCTTGAAGTGCCCGTGTGGCCTCTTCCTTTGCTCGATAGAGACAGAAGGACGCCCATCTCGAAAATACGTCTTGCGTCGAAGAGGTGTCTTGATCTTAGCCAAACGCGACACCAGCAGCCATGTCGCTGAACGGCCTCGACAATGCGACCGTCAAAGAGGCCCACGACGCTGCGGTCTCTGAACCCGGAGGCTGGTAAGCAATTCCTCCTTATCTGTTTTGCGTATAATGTCAACCACAATCCAGTCATCTGTTAAGGCAGTCTTCATCATATCAACTCCATTCTGACCTGTTACTCATCCCTACCCTAGGTTCCTTTTGAAATATACAAGTCGCGACGAAGTCGGACTACTTGGGCGAGGTAGTGGCGGCATTGTTGAAATCCGGAATGCCATTGCCCATTACGAAGAAGCTTCCCCCTTGTATGGCTTTCTCAGATACCGGCGGAGAAACGTCATAGTCAAATATCTGCCAGAGGATTGCTCTCGGCTGGTCCAAGGTAAGCTGCCCGTCCGATGAAAACTAGGCGCGGGTTTATCTTGTGTTCAGCTATTAATGTTTGTTTTCAAACCGCACCAGCCCGCGTCACTGTCCACTTCACTGCCGTCTGCGAACGCCTTGCGCCGTACAACACAACCTTTTCGATTGGCAATGCGAAAGAGCTTAAGGACACAAAACTGTCCGCTGCGTGCTCCCTCCACACGGCTTCGAGCTCCACCTCTTCGTCAACGAGCTCCTTGAGAAGAAGGAGGCTAGTGGAGATTGCAGAAGAGGAGGAAGAGGAACAACGGGCCACGAAACGACAGTCCGTCGTGAAAGAGGAGGGACGAACAGGTCCACAAGATGAGACTGGCACGTCTGAATTAACAATGCTTCAACCCACTGTCCCACCGGTTACTTTGAACTCACAGCTAGCAAAGTCGCCCGATGAATCTCAATTTTCTGGGACAACTGATCCGCCTTCTTTTACTGGTGTCGAACGACCTTCCTCGCCCGCCAAATCTCTCGATGCGCGCCGCATGTCTTCGCAACTGACACGACCTGAGATGTACAGCTATTCATCTTACCCCTATGGCAAACCGAAGGTCAAGCTAGCCCCTCGCCCCTCGTTGGATACGTCAGGGCGGCCACGCACGTCTGCAGGCACGGGTACCTACCGACCCGTCTCTGCCATCCCCGCTGGGTTCAAACTGTTTTCTAAGGGATCTCGAAAGGGCAAGGGCGACGTGAAGCTTTCGGGAAGCTCCACAGAGCAAATTGATGAGGAAGACAAAGGAGATGATGCCACCTTGATTGTAACCAAAGTCGCAGCTATCTCGGTGCCAGTAAACCCTCCCGAGACTTTAGATGTGCATCGACCACATACAAGCGGTGGCCGGCCCGCGTCTAGCTCCGGTATTTCAATCAAATCCACTGCGACGACCACAGCGACAACTGTGACAAAACAAAACACGATGACGCCAGAGAAAGCGCGGCTCATGAAAGCTATGAAATTGCGCGAGAAGAAAAAGAAGATGACAATCCAACCACCCATACCTATCCCGACCGTCGACATTAGTGAGGCGCCCACTGGGGAAGTAGTTGGAAGCATACTCCAACCTGAAGAGCCGTCCAATATGGCGCCTGCCACGGGAGTGTCGCACACGGGAAATTTGGAAGATCTGCCAAATATTGACAGACTGAGCTCCGGCAATAACTTCACATCCGGAGTTGGCTCTGGAGACCTGGCGGTTGATACCGGCTTACCTGCAGCCATGGACCAGATCTCAATAGAGACGCACACCACGGATTCGCACCCAGCCTCCCCATTGGCCATGTCTTCAGAAATCGGCGATTCCACCAAAGCCTCTTCACTATCTGAATCCACTGATGAAACAGTTCAGGCACTACGGGACCTCAAAGTAGAGACAGGCGTGACCTCCCACCATGATTCAACTAGTCCAGGCAATCCTACGTCGACGATAGAATCTAGCGAGCCTTTATATCCTGGTGGCGGCACTGAAAGTTATAAGTCTCGAGCGGAAGGGCATGGATCAGTCAGCAGTGGCCCCGTGGTGCAGTCTGAAGAACTTCCTGGCTCTGGTATGGCCGAACACGATGCTGATGATGGGGTATTTCTCGGAGAAGACCAGCTTGTCACGTCGAAGTCTTACTTGGACAAAGCTGCGGCTTTCAACAGCGCACCCGTGCTGGAATCTGCTGACGCACTTGTGTTCGCCGAGCGGACGGCCCGAGCACCTATCGACGAAGCTGGAATCGAGTTCACAGATTCGAGCCGCCCAACTACATCAACCACTTCCGAATTTACCGCCGACTTGGAGGATGAGACATTAGTGCCATCGACCATGGTCCCTGTCATCACTGCACCTGAACCGAGAGACAGCCAGTCAACAATCGGGCTCGAGACCAGTGACACCGCGTCTATGGATACCAAGCGTGCGAGACGTAGGGCCTTGGTGGACCCGATCCAAACTAATTTGGGTGGTGGCCTGGAAAATGATGGGGCACGTTCTGATGCGAATCTCTCAGATGACGATGAGTTAATGGAGGAACTTCAATCAGCAACTTTCCAACAGGCCAAGCCAATGACTGTGTCAAAATCACCCATCACTCCCGTGTTCCCAAACACCAGCCCTTCAAAGCATAGAGTTGCCGATGACGAAGTCTTTGGCCGTGTTGCTCGGACCGTTTCCAGTCCTGTTCGCGGTTCCTTGCTGGTCCCTGGAGATGCTTCAGCGGGCGCGGCAAGGTCCGTCTCATCGAATGCGACCTTTCTACAAAAAATTGCCCAACAGAAAGCGTCAAACCTTGCCCCGAAAAAAACAAATCTCGGGTCGAGCATTTCTCAAAGAATAAAGGCCCTTGAGAAGCTATCAGGGGGCACCTCTGGTTCAGCTGTAGAAGCCCCAGCACGCGCTGAACGACCGACCTCTACATTCTTTTCAGTTCACAAACCTGGTGGTCGTGACCCGTCTCAATCTCCCTCCGTTGCTGAGCGGGCATCGTCGCTGACTCGAGACAAAACTCCATCCCCACCCACTTCACGGGAATCAACTCCAGAAATGCATAGGCTAACATCACGAGACCGATCGGGCTCGATGGCAAGCCGACTTTCTGTGTTTGAAAATGGCAATCCACCGAGAGGGCGACCAGAGTCTGTTCAAGTAAAGGCCCGGATTATTCGTGATCCAACACAGCCATTCCCAAAGCTGACTGAATCACATTTTGATCCGATTGATACGAACCAGCTACAATTCAAGCAATCCCCTCTTGTTGTCGATCATCAAAAGGCAACCCCTATGCTCACCTCGGCTTTTACAGAAATATCCGGCCTATCAGTTGCAGGCTTGTCCACGGAAACTGAACGCAAGAAGGAGAGCATATTGGAACGCCGGGCGTCAAAGGAGAAGCGGCGTTCGCAATCCCAGGATAGGTCGACGATTGCGGATGGCTCGGAGGATACACGACCACGTCGGCGGTCATCTTTGTCAATCGTCAAAGACTTCATCAAGGACCGCCGCGGTTCAGTTATGGCGTCACGCTCTCCCTCGACCGACAACCTCAACACCACCAACCTTGCTTCCCCTGCCTCTTTGTTTTCACACTCGAAGTCGCCTTCACGACCACCCTCCGTACACACTACGCATGGGTTAGCACGCCGCCTTAGCATCTCCAGCCGCCGCTCAACAAGCAAGGATCGAGACATGATCACCCCACCCACCAACACTCCCCTGTCGCCATCTCTTATGACGGAAACTAGTGGCTCTGGGGATGAAAGCAAATCATTCACGAGCGAACTCGGACATAAGAAGACCAGCTCTGGGGGTAAAAATCGGGCATCTCGTTTCATACGCAGACTGTCGAGCTCTCTTACCACAGGCCGGAAGTCAACAACACCCACCATTTCGCCCACTGTTGCCGAGGAAGAGGAGGCATCTAGTACAACCGCCGCACCAAACCAAGGAGACCTAGTTATCCAGTCCAATGCCATTTCATGTGTCGGTGATGTGAATGTCCAATTTCCGGACAATCTACTTTGGAAACGCCGCACTATGTGCCTCGATTCGCAAGGATTTTTGATTCTCAGCACGGGAAACAGTGTTGGCGCACCGGGAATTGATAAACCAGCTGGCACTGTGAAGCGGTACCATATCAGTGACTTCCGATTGCCATATATTCCCGAGATGGAAGTGCAGGAGCTTCCCAATAGTGTGTGTTTGGACTTTGTCGATGGTTCTGGCTTGCAAATCGCATGCGAAGATCGTGCTGGCCAGCTGAATATTCTTCACGGTACGTGTCCTCAGCATGAAATATATGTTTTCATTTGCCCTCGAGAGGCTTCTAACTCATTTTCTCTCGCAGTTCTCCAAGATGCTCATCAGGGCCATACGTCCTTTGGCCAGTGAATACTCCTTTCACAAGCAGCAGTCCAGGCGGCATAAACTTGGGTGACCCGAACTTGGATCGAACCATGTTAAAACCACCAATGTTGCGCCCCAGTTACATTTTCCTGCAATGACCAGCCACCCAACTTGCAGCAACCGGGCACAGCGACACTTGTCTTTTGTCTGATTTCATCATCTAGCAAATGCCGTGACCTACCAACACCACCGTCTTGTAGGGTGTGCATCGTGCTGTTACTGTCTTTCTGTCGCGTTGCATTTGTTTTACGGGGCGGGGATATCAGCAGGCGCACCTGTCTAGAACAAGGAAATTGGCTTATTCGTCAATTGACTTTGATATTTCCTTACCACTACTACATGCCATTTGTACATAGCAAGCATTCACCACGACCGCCGCATTTGGGCGGGTGCATACTCTTTACCCATTGATCCCACATACTGCGTAATTTTAATGCTCATTGTGTCACCTGTGTTGCCGGTCAGGTACGAAACTTCTTTTTACGGTTTGTATGTCAATCGTGGGTTGGCCATACCTGGGAGGAGCTAAGAAATAAATAAAGAAATGACTACTATTCGAGTAGTATTGAATTCGAGCTCCTTGGCTTCGTCACACGTTAGATGTTGTTCTGAGTGCTGTTTTTAATTTGCTAGCTTTGTTTATTTATATCTTATTATGTTTTGCTTCTTCCCTTTTTGTCATTGGTTTTATTGCTGACTTTTTTAAACGCCAGTCATTTTTTGCACCCATACTCACCCCGTCTTCCCGATCTCTTTAATCCATAGTGCAGTTTCGTGCATTTGATTTTATCTTTTAAACTCCTAGCCTGGACTGGCAGCGGCTTTTACAAGAGTCTAATTATAGCTATTTAGGTTGAAAAAAGTACAACGCAATACAGATGGTACAGATGGCTGGAAAGCACAGTAACGCAAAAGGGGAGGAAATGAACAAACAAATGTAAACTTTTCGTCCTTTTCTTACTCTGTAACGGCCGACGACAAATCAGAACCCGTTAGGATCCATGGCCATGAAATCGAGAAGATCCATGCCCGCGACACTGACACCCTCTGCTGTCATGGCGACATTAGAGTCACCCATGTTCTGGAAAAAGGCTGGCCCTGCAGGAAGATACCACATTTCATTGTTGGTCCAATCTGTGGCGTCGGAGTAAATAGCATCGCCGAGTGGATTGTCCATGCCGACAATGGCGGCCGGGGTGGATGGGTTAAGCACAGATGCTGTGCCCGAGGGATAGGGAAAACTACCCGCCGTAGAATCAAATGGTGTCGCAGAAATATTGGCGGGTGTACCGGAACGCTCAAGACCTGTGAGGTTGAAAAAAAAAAAGATGTCAGCTAGTACCCCGAGAGAAGGCGAATAAAGGCAAAGCATCGTTACGTGATGTCAGGCGTAGACTTACTTGATACTCCCGTCTTAGACCAATTCTGATCGCCATTTGCCGGCAGAGAAGCGGACGACGTCAAACCTTGTCCAGGCCCAGCGAGGCCTCGTGCATGTCCACTTACACCAAAAGCCGCCTCAGCAGTTGGGTTAGGGCTCCCGCCACTGGCTGACTGAGGAGCGTTTGCAGAAGCAGGCAGAGATGGTGCATGTATGAAACGATTGCGGAGCCGACTTGTAAGGGACTCCAGGAGATCGGCAAACCGGGTCCCCAAGTGCACGTCATCGACTACACAGTTGCGGAGGGCATCCACAGTTCGATCCATGAGAGTTATGGAAATCTCAACATCAGCCTTGGGAGCACCAAGTGCGAATGTTTTCAGCAGAAACATAGCCCCACTGATGATGCGGAAATATGTCCGTACTGGGGCATGCTTGAGATATCCTCCCGGGAGGAGTCCATCAACGACGGTTCGAAGCAAGTTTCGGCACCCGTCGACTACTTCTTTTACGTACGCCTGGTCCACAGCCGTGACACCACCAAGTCGGCCAAGAGGAAGCTTTCCGTAGTAACTCTGTGTTTGGGGAGACAGCTGTGGTGGTGCATCCCCAGTGGCACTACCTCCTCCCGCACTGTTGCCTGCGTTTGTCGTACAGCGCTCCACAACGGCCTGGAGGGAGAGGGAATTAATGTAGATGCGAACGTATTCGTACTCGATGCTGAGGATGTGCCGAATGAAGGTTGGTAGTTTGAAACGCTCAAATTCTTTCCACCAGTCTCGAAGCAAGGGCTGGAAGTCTTTGAGTAACTCAGTGTATTTCCCGCTTTGGATAATCTCTGCCGTATGCTGCCGAGAGGAAAATAGTTTCTCGTTGCCGGTGTGCATAACGTTGCTAATTCCTGCCCAGCAGTGGATGATTTGGTCGTCGAGCTCTAAATCGGGGATATAGTTAAACGCATTGGACACGGACGAGAGGCTGGTTCTAGGTGTCTGACCTTCAAAGGAGGAGTTTGGGCGTTTCCGAGAGGCGACCGGATCTTTTTTCCGCAGGCTTTCCGGGACCATGTTTGTCCAGCCAAGGCGACCAGCCAGCTGGGAGAGGTAGATCAGGAGCAGGCGCTTGATGCGGTAGGCGCGGAGGCGGTATGTTTCTTCTTCGTATTCCGGACGCGTGATGCCACCGGAAGTGAGCAGTTCATCAATGTCATCGAACACGCCTAGTTCATAGGCTAGACCCATTGCGGTGCTCAGGAGCATCCAGCACATACGGTCACTCCGCCAGGCAGGCTCCAGCCAACTGTCGATCCGCTTGCCACGAACGCCGCCGGCAAGACGAGTGTCACCATCGTCGCCAACGACGTTGTCCCGTGCATTTGCGGAGAGCAATAGCTCGTCAGTGACATCCGCAGGAGGGAAGTGCAAGGCGCGCGGGTGCCACTCGGTAAGGATCATGAGCGACTCGATAGTCCCCAGGGTGCGGAGACTACCCTTGCGCAAACCGCGCCATGGCGCGGTGCTGGACGTCTGCGAATCATCCGCACCTGAACCACAGAAACCGCCACCAAATGCTTCTTGGCCCCATACGACTCGCTCGATCATACCTCTCAAGTATGTCCACAGTTGCTCGTGTACGGCGTGTGACCGGCAGCTCGCGCCGGCACCTACAAGCGACTTGTACCGAGATGAAATTGTCAAAAGAGTGACTGCTAGAATTGGCTCTTCCGTCAACAGTGTGACGTGGGTGGCTGGATTGCTGAATGTCGGAGGTGAGATGGGTGTCAACGGTGAAAGATATGTGTAGTAGCTGCGGGGAGAATCGAAAGTTAGCGATGTATCAAGTGAATAAGACCCGACCACGCACTATTTCTTGCGTGTAAAGGCACTTACTAATTAATATATTCGATTGCTTCCTGGGCGGTAAACCACCCAGCGCGGACAAACCGAAACCTTGCCCATAGTTTGAGGGCGTCTGCATAGCCGGGGAGGGTTGACGGGTCAGGCCGCCCTAGCTCGGGGTCGACAACCTGTTCGTTGTGTGATGCGGCGCGGCCAGGCCGGTTGGGGCCGTAGGCAGTGGCGGGTGTAGTAAAGTACTCAGAACTCAGAGAGCCCTGCCCTGATTGCAGGGTATACTTGTTCTGTGAAGGTCCTGCGGGCGTACCATTGCTGGGATCGTCCTGTTTCGTATGGGGACTGATGGGCGAGACGGAAACGGATGTTAGCGTCAGCAATCATCGGATGAGGTTTCAAGGAGGCTGCGTTTTTTGATTGGGACGACACAATAAAAAATTTGGGGAGCTAATGACATGAAAAGTACGGACCTGTCCGTGGCTGCCTTGTAGAGCAAGTCCAAAGCATCGTGAGGGCCGTATACCTCGCGGCGCATGACGGTTTGTGCCTCAAAGTTCTCGAGCGGCGTGTTGGGCTCATCGGCGGCCGCCATGTTGTCCGCCTTGCGTGACCCGGTGTTGCCGTTGCGTGTGGACGGATCGTCAGGCTGGGGACGCCGGAGGGGATGGGAGCGGACGTTGGCAAGGCCGGCACCCAGAGGTGCATCGTCATACGCGCCGCCGTCAAGGCGGGAGGTTCCTGTTTCGTCTACATGGAGCTTTCGACGGCCATTTCGCACGATATAGTCATCGCTGTCAATCCCCGTGTCGTCGTCGGTCTTGCGCTTCCGGCGAGTAGCACTGAAAAAGCATTCTTTGCTCTCGCGCCGGCAGCGAACACAGGGCGGATCATGAGGATTGTCGACCGAGCCTAGATCGCAACGAACCTTTCGGCGGCGGCATGGGATGCAAGCCTGGTACACTCGCTTGTGCCCAGGTTGCTGTCCCTGGGCATCCTGCTGGGTGCCGGCGGCATCTCGTGCAGGAAGCGCAGACGATGCAAACGACGGCGACCGGTCAGACTGCGAAGGTTGGCTGCGGGTTTCGTCCTGGGCGTTGGACGGGCGCGGTGGATCAAAATTGGACATTGCCACGCAACGCGCAGTCAACGCGCCGCTGGCGGGATTGATGGTTTCGATGGGTTCAATGGACTCTTGATGCAAGCGTTTCGCCTATTGCAATGCGCGGGCGTGGGCGACGTTGGATCCGGGGGTCTAGGTCGCCGGGGCGTTGTCGGGATTAAATGGTTTCTGTCGGTTTGCGACGGGTTTGGCGAGAGGATCAGTGGATGGGGGAAGTGAAAGAGAGAAAGTGCGGCGATGGGCAAATAATAGTGGGAAAAGCGTGAAATGGAAGTAAGTGGGCCAGCCGGCTGGTGTGCTGCTAGGTGTTTGGCGAGTATTTTGTATAACTGGAGAGAGAATTAAGGGGTCCGAAGGCTACCAGAATTAGCTGGGCGCAGACAGGTTCTTAGTGACTTTCAGCACATGACGTGCGGAGTATTACATATATCAAAGAGCAGCGGAGACCGCCTGCGACTGTGCGGCGGATTTGACCAAAACGGAATGCAAGAAATAAATGCAATAACAAGGTCCAACGGGCACTTTGATCTATGTGGTAAAAGCGAGAAATTGGGAGCGAGCGCAATTTGGCTTTGAGATGCCTTGTTGAGGCTGGTGCAAGGTCACATGGTTCCAAAACTGGAAGGAGCGGGGGCGGGACGAGCGGAGCCTGGGATTTCAGAGTGAACAAGCGCGTTGTTTCTCGTTTTTCTTCGTAATCTATGCTCGTTGAGGCTGAAGGTGCAAGCTAACTGGCAGGGACCAGTGGAAGCCCTTTAGAGACCTGAAGAGGGTCATATGACCAGCGCATGGCGTTTGTTCCATGCTGTAGAAGTTTGTTGGTAGGCCGCAGATATTGTTGTCTGGGTTCTGGACAGTCAGCAAAGCCTCGTCGTTTCACCGTGAATAAGCTATCACAACCGCACCAGCCATTGCATGGTAAATCAACACAGTTCCGTTCACGCTATGGAACGGTATGTGTTGGCCGTGAAACCGTCTAGGTTGGTCTATCTTGGAAGACACGGTTGGGCCGCTTGGAAGCAGCACTTTTACCATGTGTATAGCTGCGACGAGGAATTTTCTCGAATGCAAGGCTGTGTGAGGCTGGCAGACGCCAGTGGGAGTGGGATCATCTCCTGTTCAGATTTTACTTCGATGCGGAAACACGAGTGGCTTGTTGTAGTATTTTTTGCAACCCATTAATCTGGTAGCCAGCGCCACCATCACCTGCACCGGTTTCTATACAAACGCCAGGTTTAAACTAGGTAGACTGGAGACTGGCGGCGATATGAGAAAAATAAAACACATAAACACATAACACATAAACACAAAACCGAGGGGAATAAGAACGACTCGAATCACATATGCCGTGTTCCTATGACCTTATTCCTACAGCCCTCCGGCCAAGTCAAGATGCGTGTATCAAAGGGAACCAAAGACACACGAAAAGCGAAGAAGCACCACAACACAACAATGCAGTGAGAATGGATAAGAAAGATAAAACAAAACCAAAATCACCAAAACCGTGAAAACCGCACACCAAAAATATACCTAACGCTGCCCCAAAACTGCACCACAACAACTTATAAAAGGTTCCTTTTATCCCCGACCAAGTAAAGAATAATGTAAAGCGCATAGGCTGCCCTCCGTAATGTACATAAGAAAGTAGATTCATGAAGCCATGCATGAAACACAACATAAGCCCTGGCTCATTTCGACAATTTGACAAAGATAAACTGAACGAGCCGGCAAGGTTGCCGGGCACCTGAATGCGTTATTCACGTAGGAATCGCACGAATATGTTTGCAAAAACATAGGGTTATGTCGTACAAACCCAGAGCACATGCACGGCCAGGGCTGTGTCCTCACCGGGGCCCGACGGTATCGGGCCTTATCGGAGACGATGGCCTTCGGGGGATTGGCTCTAAAGTTGCGCTACGTTAGGTATTTAGATCGGCGCGGAAAGGTTCTGCGAGGTGCAAGGGCATAGCACAAATATTGGGTAGCATGGCGAGGGAGAATGGGTCAGGTGATGCGTACCAAGAACTCCCACATTACCCGACACAGGTTGTCAGGCATGGTATACAGGTCGATGGAGAACTCGCCGGCTGCACATACGATCCGACATCAGTAAACGCACAAACTGGAATTTCTTAAGGCGGGGAGAGGGTATAAACACAGATAACGCACCGTCGGGGTTGTTCATAATGTATGTATCGTCGTTTTTGTTGTCATGGATCAGCTGGATAATGTGAAGTAGATCATCCTCGTTGAGTCGTGGGATGACATCGGCCATCTTTTCCAGGTCGTATGTCTTCTTCTTCTTTGTAGTCGTATCCTGTACCTTCCGCGCCTTGCGGTCTTCGTCGGTGGGTAGAGGGCCGGTTTCGCGCAGAATCGCCTGGAGAGCCTGGGACGGGTTTTTGAACTGGATAGTGTGTATGTTTTCGTATGTCGGTTCGGCAAAGTTTAGGTCGTGGAGGATAGACTGCTTGCCGCCCTTTTCCGTTGTGTAGCAGTCAATAGTCATCTCGAATTCACCCCAGCCTTCGTTGGTGCACTTGAACGGCGGTTCATGGAAGGCTGCGTCGCATTAGCTGCCAGATTATTCTGGAATGGATCTGGCGGTGCTCCAACTGCGCGTAACGTACTCTGTACTGGGCTCTCAAACGAAGGATGAAGGTTGTAAACAACCTTCTGGAAGCAACGGGCCGGCTTCTCTTTGCCCGCCTCATCCAGGATGTAGACCTCCACGGTCCATTCTTTCATCGGGTAGCCTTCCATCTGAGGAGGCTTTGGGCTGTGTCGCAAGAACGCATTCCGTTGTTAGCCAATATGAGCCAGTATATTCGAACCAATGTGCTACAGCTTTGGTTTCTGCAAGGGTCTTCTTGGCAACGACTAACATGTTGTGCTGCTCTGTGATGAGCTTGACACGGCGCTAGATTTCGAGAGGGACAAGGTTAGAATTGAGTCGTGATTGACCAAATAAGCCGAAAATCAGGAAGGGAAGCATTGCTATGGTCGCTGTACCTCAACAATCATCGTGGCGGTTGCTAGTACGGTCTTGAGGGTAAGCTGGCTACTGGATGTGATGTATGTCAGCAATGGTTGTACATGAACTGGCACAAGCGACATTGAACTCGTCTAGGTTGGTTGAGATCTGGCTCGGACCGAAATCCGGTCTGTCCTAGTTCCTTTCCCAGTTCGTTCTCACATCTCCAAGCTTCTCGCGATTCGGCCTTTTCTTGCCTGGGCGTGGAGTCAGTCGTCTTCGGCTTGATTGTGGCAATGGCCGGGGAGAGAATTATATGGAAGGAAAAGCAAGGCGCGAGTCGAGGCGAGCTAGAACAGGTGGAGGAGCAGGCACCGGGTGCGAAGGGGGGGGGGGCTCTTTTGAGCAAGACCAGGACAAAAGTCCAGGTGAAAGACAACACACGCTTGTGCACTTACTGGGTGTCTGCTTCATCAAACCCAGGCTCGTTTTTACTGGGAATTGGCGCTGGGTCTCGTTCTCTTCTTGGGGGTTTTTGATTTTCAATCGTTGCCGTCGCAGGTCTTAATTATCTTTGGAGGGCGTTGTTGAACTCGTTGCGGCATTCGTACAGCTTTTAACTTCGCGTAAGGATGTGAATGGGCATTCGCACGTACTGAGGTCGAAGCGGCGCGACCTTGAGACGTTCGCTGGCGTAGTATGCCCCAGTTTTTATTTTAGGTTAGACGAATCTCTCTGTGTGGCTGTTTGGGTTTGTGGCTGAGGAACAGTGTGAAAGAATGTGCTTGAACCCCCCGCCTTTCATGCTTTCAGTTGAAGAACAATGGTTGGCAGCTGAGCTTCCTTGGACTTAATAAACGCACATCGTTTCTTTTTTCTTGATTCGTTGTTCTTTTTATGTTCCGACGATTTAAATGACCCCTTTTTATATCAGTTGCACCACTATTAGGAAGTCGCACACATTGTATTAACCAACTATCTAGGTGTCGTGGGAACTTTGTTTCTTTTTGGTGTTTTCTCAGGTCCTTCCTTCATATACTGCGACGCGTTTGCAAATAACATGTGCCTTCTCACAAGGCTTGAGGAGTAATGTTTCCTGCTGAACCATCGTCTAACTGATCCTTATAGGCCCGTATTGAAGCAGAGGCCGCAACGGATCTGATAATTCGGCAGCTATATTTCGAAAGGATCAATGGGGGGCGAAAGGGTGGAGGAGAACAATATCGCAACATGGTCAGGGGGGGGTTTATGTTAGAATGAGAGATGCGTAGTGTTGATGTTCACTTTTGGAAGGCATGCTGCCGAGTTACTAACATGGCAGCATAAAGCAAGTGCAGGGTTTCATGTAGTGTCGAGGAGCTTGGCAGAAAACAGCAAATATGGTTTCGTGGGAGGTTGGGGGAGTTGACAACAAACATTGGTACCCAAGTAGAGCTTCTTCTGGCTGGAAGAAGTGTCTGTTTAGAAAAGTTCTTTTCTTTTCGCTTCTGCTAGAATGGGACACCATAAAGGGGCCCAACGCCCTATGCGTCCTTGGCCGCCTCAGCTGGCACCTCCGGCTTCTCCTCCTTCTTGGCCTCATCCTTAGAATCTTCCTTGGCCTCCTCTTCGTCATCGTCGTCGACGTCGCCGGAGGCCTCGGCGGGGGCACCGTTCTCAATCTGGGCCTTGATAAACGCGTCCTTGAACTGGTTGGCGTCTGAAAAACACATACAACGTTAGTAACGGGAACTGACGAGTATACAAGACACTAAACTGGGCAACCCAGAGACGGAGACGTACTGTCAGAGTTGGCAAAACGAATGGCGAGCGTCATGGCCTCAGCCTCGCCCTCGCTCACATCAGCAGCGGTGTTCCAAACCCAGCTGCGGTCGGAGCCAACATTGGGCGACAGGCGCATATCCGACAAAACTGAGAAGTGAGGTTAGTATATAGCGTCAAATTGTGTAGACAAGACCGCGTGGACAATCGTACCGTAGTGGTTGGCACAGACCTTGAGGGTCTTGTCCCGGCGCATGACTAGGCGAGTCTT